TAAATTACCAATAAAATCATGATACAAATAAGAGATTTGATCATAAATCTACTATGAAATAGGGGATTTGACCGTTAATTTTTAAGTTTTTAATGAGTTTTGAATAATAAAAATTGTTAACTATAACGAAAATTAATTTAGAGTATTAACCGTAAAAAAGAAAAAATGTGTGAGGTGCGAATGGAGTCTTGGGCCTTTAAGTTTACTTAAAAACCAGAACATTTAAGATTACCTAATAAAATTATTTAAATATTTTTAATAAATTTTTTTCATGTTAATTTATAAATTTTATTTAAAATTTTTCATTATCATTCTTATTATTTTAAGAATAATGATGAAAGAAAGGTATTTTATGGGATTAAAATTTAAAATCAATGATACCGCATCAGTCATACTATTTAATATATTAAAAATAAAATTTATATTATTTATTAAAATTTTTTTAATTGTACCTTTATACACTTTTGTTATTAATTAATATTAAAAGTAATAAAAATTCACATTAATATTATTATTATTACCACATAAATTATTTTAATTAGATAATTGATTAAATAAAAATCAATTTTTATTTTTTAATAACAATTAAGGTAAAAAAAATAGTTTTAAAGTACAATTAATAAATTTTATTATATAATAATTAATTTTTTTTCTTTATCAAAATCTATAATATTATAATATATACATCAACTTAAAATAAGATAAAAATTTTAGTCCCTACTCTTATTTTAACTGCCTTTAAAAAGCTGATATTTCACAATCTTGAAGCTGGGGTTGCGATTACAGTGTGCCATGCCAAGTTTTTTTGTTTTCAGCAAAACAGAGAACATACTGGTTTTGTCTGAAGAAACGGACGGCAATCGATCGGATGTAAACTTCAAGACTGTGACCGTAGGAACTGTTTGTGGATATGCCTCTGAGAACAACACACTGCTAGAATTGTCCTGCCATAGTGCCATGGTCATCCAATCTCTGCCATCACAGGAACCAGTGGTTAATTATTTCACCAAGGGCATCTGTGAATGGGAAGGCGACGAATACTTGTCATCGTTCAACAGGAATGCATCGGAAAGGAGACATGTTCCATTGGTGTTTCTGAAACCAAGTTTGGAGGCCGAAGCATTGTCGAGTCTAGCTGTAGAAGCTCTCTCTGTTAATACCAAATCTTGTTTTATTTAGCAAATATCAAGGATTACAAGTCTCTAAAGGTAGGGGAAAAGAGACCATTTTAGCTCTATCTATAGAAGAAATTAAATCATGGAAAAGAGAGAAGGGAAAACTGAAAGAAAAGTCCTACCCAGTTTCCACCACGACTTCTTATTCTAGAGTTGGTCTAACACACATCAAAATAAGTAGCTCGAGAAAAGTCCCACAGAAACACTACTAAGTTAAGCTAATCTATTGAACGAGGGATTTTGTAACAAAACTTTTATTTTACCCAAAATTTGTTCGAAGATGAGTTGAAGTAGTCTTCACTAATACGCAAAAATCTCCAGATCTTAGTATGTCAATGTTGCCTAAATTTAGATAATTGGATCATTTCAACCATGGAGCTTCCTATATATACATTCACCTTCACTTCTTTTCCCACTTGGACAAATCTTCTCTTCTGTAATAATTAAGACAGCAAAAATTTCATTGTAAATCGAGATGTTGTCAAGACATTGGACAGTTTTTCTTCTGGTGGCCTCAGCATTTCTGTGTTCATGCTCGGCCATTACGGTTGATTATGATGCTAATGCTATGATCATCAATGGTCAACGCAAGCTTGTCATTTCTGGTTCCATTCATTATCCTCGTAGCACCCCTGAGGTATACTGCAAATACTTTTAGTTTACTTCTTTTGCTCGGTTCCTTCCTTACTGGTTTCCTGGTTTCTGTCTGTTAAATGAACTATTTGTTGGTATCAGATGTGGCCTGATCTGATTCAGAAGTCAAAGGACGGAGGACTTGATACCATTGAAACGTATATCTTTTGGAACCTCCATGAACCTCGTCGTCGTGAGGTTTGAATCAGTTATTGATCTCCTGAACTTAAATACACTCTTCAGCCCAAGATTTTGAATTAACCTTTGTTCTTCCACTGTATATTTGTTTTTCATGATTTAGTATGATTTCACTGGAAACCTAGACTTTGTAAAGTTTTTCCAATTGGTTCAAGAAGCTGGCCTTTATGGCATTCTTCGCATTGGACCTTATGTCTGTGCTGAATGGAATTATGGGTAAGTTTTAATATTTTTTGGATAGAACTCTGTCACTTGCTTGAAACTAAGTACTGAAGACACCGAATTGCTCCAGAGGTTTCCCCATGTGGCTGCATAACACTCCAGGACTTGAATTAAGGACGGACAATAACGTCTACAAGGTAAAAACATGGAGTCTTCGTAGGAATAATTCTCTCAATCTTGTTTTGATATATATACATTCTCTCAAAGTTTGGCAACTGGTTACAGCAAGAAATGCAAATTTTCACAACCAAGATTGTGGATCTCGCGAAACAAGCTAAGTTGTTTGCGTCACAGGGAGGACCCATCATTCTTGCTCAGGTTCTTTAAACCATAGCAAAAAATTTCCCCCCTCTAATTGATATGGTAAAGTATTATGGGTAGCAATATTTAACGTGAAAATGTAACAGATTGAGAATGAATATGGAAATATCATGGATGGTTATGGAGATGCGGGGAAGAAATACATCAAGTGGTGCGCTGAGATGGCTGTAGCCCAAAATATTGGTGTCCCGTGGATCATGTGCCAACAGGATAACGCCCCACAACCCATTGTATAATCCATTTCTACTTTTGCTGCATTCAGAAAGGAAAGTTCAACTACATACTCTCATGTATGGGATTAGTTTTTTTTGTTTTTTTTTGTTCTCTTTAGATCAATACTTGCAATGGGTTTTACTGTGATCAATTCAAGCCAAACAATGCTAGGAGTCCCAAAATGTGGACAGAGAATTGGACTGGATGGTGGGTTTCTTCTCCTTCCTTAATTACTTACTTTTCTTGAAGTGAGTTCAACTGTCAATTTATATCTTGCTAGGTTCAAAGCCTGGGGTGGCAGAGACCCACATAGAACTGCTGAAGATACTGCCTTTGCTGTTGCTCGCTTTTACCAGAATGGAGGCGTCTTGCAAAACTACTATATGGTACGTCCCAAGGGAAATTCTACACTTAGCCCGACTGCATTTTTCCTTTCGAAAAAAATTCACAAAAAAGGGATCAACGAGATCCCGAATGCACATAGCACTCCTCCATTCCTATTATTCATCCTAATTTCTTTGGATGCTTTTCAATGGCACATATATATATATATATATATATATATATATTCGATATTCATGTAACACATTATAGACTACATATTAAAAATACTGTTCATCTTATAAATATATTAAAATATCTTTAATGAAATAACATAAAAAAAATTTATTAAAAATATTTTAATAAAATTTATAAAGCAAATTGTACTTTTAATATAAAGTCTATATATCTTGTAAAACACATTTATATCATATATACATATATATATATATATTTTTGACCTACTGATAGCATTGTTTTTTTTCCTAAATTCAGTATCATGGAGGAACAAACTTTGGACGCACTTCAGGAGGTCCATATATTACCACATCATATGATTATGATGCACCACTCGACGAATATGGTAATTAGGCATTCATTACTCTGTTACATCCCCGAACCCTGCAATCCTAAATCAAGGCAAACTTAATGCTTTAGAATTGGGAAATTTCAGGAAATCTTAACCAGCCAAAGTATGGACACTTGAAAAAACTCCATGCAGCTCTTAAACTTGGGGAAAGTCTTCTCACCAGTGGCAATGTGTCCTGGAAGAGTTTTGGCAATGGGGTTGATGTAAGTCTCAAAACTTTATATTAGCATGTATGATACTCAAATTGATGAAAAGGAATTGATGTGAATCTTTCTTGAAAATAAGCTCACAACATTCACCAATTCTTCCGGGGCAAGATTTTGTATGTTGAGCAACACCGACAATTCCAAAGATGCTAACATTGATCTGCAACAAGACGGCAAGTTCTTTGTGCCTGCTTGGTCTGTCAGCATTCTTGATGGGTGTAATAAGGAAATTCACAACACTGCAAAGTTAAACACCCAAATTTCTCAGATGGTAAAGAAAGTATACACCAAAGAGGATGTGGACGTGGATGGAGATGGAGTCGAGGATCCAGTAGAACAAGTAGCTCCCCATCTCAACTGGGAATGGGCACCAGAGCCCCTGAGAGACACCCTCCAAGGAAAAGGCAGGTTCAAGGCTTCAGTATTACTTGACCAGAAATCAGCAACTTTTGATATCAGTGACTACTTTTGGTATATGACTAGGTAATGGTTTTACTCATCAATCATTCCCTATATCAATTTTGCATTTCATTTCATTGGTGAGAAATCCTAATGAGTTTTGAGAGCTTCGACAGTGTCAATATCAACGAAACAACGTGGAAATCGTCGAACTTGAATAATGCTACTCTGCGCGTTAACACCAACGGCCATGCACTCTATGCTTTTGTTAACAGAAGGTTCCTTGGTAAAATCTATGCTCTTGAATCTCTGCAACTGCTTTACTCTTAGATTATTGTTACTTATCATGGAGTTTGACTCGATTAATAGGTTACCAATTCTCCAAGCAAGCCAATACAAAGCAAATGGTTCATGGCGATGACTACAGCTTTCTGTTTGAGAAACCTATTTCGCTGAATGTTGGAACTAATACCATTTCTTTACTCAGTGCCACTGTTGGATTGGCGGTAGGATAAACTTCACAAGTTCTATCACCTTCTTTAGAAAATTCTTTATGGGGTTATTGTATACGTCTCATTGTTTCTTCAATTGTGTGGTAGAATTATGGTGCCAAATTCGACCTGAAACCTACTGGCTTGATCGGGGGCTCAGTACAGTTGGTGAGCAATGGACAGGTTGTCATCGATTTAACATCAAGCACCTGGTTCTATAAGGTAATTTCTTTCTCTTTCTCTCCTTCCAAACACTTCTCATCTTGTTCAAGAACTCATTTCTTCATTCGTTTCTCTTGAAGGTTGGATTAAACAGCGAAGTGAAACGCTTCCATGATCCAGCATCGACGAAAGCAAAATGGAATGCTGATGGACTCCCAACAGGAAGACCCATGACTTGGTATAAGGTACTTTCTATAATCTCAAACAGAAAACCATCTCCTATGTGTCTGTTCTTTGTTACTTAATCTGAAATTTTGAATGTCTGTGTTATCAGACCACTTTCCAGGCTCCTCTGGGGACAGACCCTGTGGTTGTGGACTTGCTAGGAATGGGCAAGGGCTACGCTTGGGTGAACGGACACAACCTTGGCCGCTTCTGGCCTACTGCAGTAGCTGACAGCAGTGGATGCAACGACAATTGCGATTACCGCGGTCAATTTAACAGTGATAAATGCAGGACAAACTGCGGGAATCCTACTCAGAGATATTATCATGTTCCCAGATCATTCCTCAATAAAAACAATAGCAACACATTGATTTTATTCGACGAAGTTGGAGGAAACACATCGGCAATATCTTTCCTGGTTATCACCGTCGGAAAAGTTTGCGGACATGCCTATTTAGGGAGCAACTTGGAGTTGTCATGCCAGGGTGGGAAAGTTATCTCTGACGTCGAGTTTGCTAGCTTCGGAGACCCCCAGGGGTTCTGTGGCTCATTCAAGGTCGGCTCTTTCCAAGCCACAAATGCCTTGACTGCAGTGGAAAAGGTAAGAACGAACAAACAAACAAGCATCCCTCCATTGATGGGTTTTAAAAAGCTTCCACAGGCAAGATAAAACTATTAATGGTTTTCGATATTTCTCTTGCAGGCATGCGTGGGAAGACAGAGTTGCGCCATTGAAGTATCAGATGCAACATTTGAATTGAGCAACGACATTGGGCCAACGAGTCGGCTGGCAGTTCAGGCTCTTTGTAGCTAAAAAGTAAGGAATAGTTGTAAAAGAAGAAGAAGAAGAAATAAATGTAATGATAAATGGAGTGGAACAAAATCATCATATTGACATGAATAAAAGAAAATAAAACGCTCTATTTTGCCCCAATTTCATTGATCCATTCTGTGAAATTCATGGAATCTAGCAGAAAAGTTTCCATTATATTAAAATGAAAGTGTGCAATTAGTACCCATTTCGCATGGAAAAACAGAGGAAGTCCTAAATTGTCTGCATACCAGGTGACTGATAAAATGCCGCACTAGAATTATCACTACTAACACCCTTCTACTCCGTTTGTTCCTGCAAAACAACCACTATTGGGACCCATCATTAGAACCCCTAATTCGCCCGCTCCCTCAGCATCTTCAGCGGCTGCTCTTCGAGAGTGCTTGAAGGCCGCGTCTTGAATTTGAGTTGGGGTTAGCAGATCTCTGGCACCCGGGATCTCAGGCGGATTATCGGGGAAATTGAGCTCGGCCGAAGTTCCACGCAGGCAAAAAGCGGCAGCGTCATACGCTCTGGCCGCTTCCTCTGCTGTCTTGTAGGATCCCAACCATATCTTGCCCCGGCTATTCGGTTGTCTTACTTCTGCAACCCACTTCCCCCACTTCCTCATCCGCACCCCCTTGTATCGGCCGTTTCGAACTCTGGCATCACTATCGCCTCCTCCCTCCCTTCTGGGTCTGACCATCTTTCTCCTTTCCTTCACGTCGGTCGCCGGCGTAGCCTTTCATTTATCGCGTCCTTTCTGCACCGTATTTTCTAGAGATTTAGTACGTGGGGGGAAGAGGTGATACGTGGAGGAATAGAAAAATACCACGTGGAAAAATCAGAAGAAAAGGCGCAATCAGGGTTCTACATGGATTTGTTAGAACCGTTGGATATGGATTGAGATTCCTCTTTGGGGCGGTTTAAGCCGGTGCCATTTTTGGGGTGTGTGTATCAACTATCAAATATTTCCACACCTGAAAATTTTTTACGAAAATGATGTGACTTGTGCCTTTCAAGTTTAGAATTCATAATATAATAAATTATTTTATAATT